ATGGCTGAGAAGGATCTAGGATGGCTACTCCTCTGAGCATCGTCTTCAGAGCAGCGTGGCTCTCGTTCCCTTATTTACCCATTATTACACCCCGCCTTTTCCCTTCCAAGGAACAAAAGGCAGCTCGCAGCCTTCTCCTTCTCCTTCTCCACTTATCCTCACAACAACAACAACCTTGCGAGGTGGGTTGGGCCGAGAGTCTGTAAGGGGCCCAGGCAGCCAAGGAGCCCCTTGGCGGAGCCGGGACTTGCACCGGAGCTCCCGCACCCCGCCCGCACTGGCCCCCTCCGCGCCGCGGCCCCTCCCGCGCCCCGCGCCCGTGCCGCTCACCTGAGGGGACAGTTCTCCGCCCCGAGGGCGCACCAGAGAAATTGCAAACCGCTACCCGCCCCACCGCTGCGTCCTCCCCTTCCCCAGGAGGGGAGGGGCGAGGCAGGAAATGCCTCCGGGCCCAGCCTCTGCCCCGCACCAGGCACCATCCCGGGCAAGTGCGCTTCCCTCGGCCCCGCGCCGCTCCCCGGAGAAACAAAGGCAGGGGGCGGGAGGCAGCGACGCGGCCGGCGCTTCTATTGCATGGCAAAACTCCCGCCCGCACCGCCCGAACTACAATTCCCAGCATTCCTGGCAGCAAGCGGGGACGGGAGGGCTTGAGGCAAAAGCCCGTTCCCGGCACGCTTCAAATAAATAAATAAATAAAGCTCCGTCTCCGCCTCCGCCTCCCGCCGCAGAACTGCAGTTCTTAGGAAAGCGGCGCCGGAGCGGATCTTTCCCCTGGTGGGGTTAATTCTGGCTGCACTGAGCGCCCTCCTGCTTGGATGCACGCCTGGGCGTGGGGAGCGGGGTGGCGAGCGGTGCCGCCGGCGGGCCAGACGCTGCAAAGGGAGGCTGTAGCCGAGAAGGTCGAGGACCGAGGCTTGGAAAGGCAGCAGTGAAGACACTGGGCAAGATAATGGCCAAAATCTCCTGCACTCTCTTATTTCTGGTCGCTATACCTGGGCGTGAAAGCGGGAGAGTGAAGGACGCTGCCGGGGGGTGTTTGAAGGCTGGTGCTGAAGGAGAACTTTGCAAACACTTTGAACAGGCGGAACAAGTTTTTCCAATCGAGCCAGAGCTCTTCCTGGGAGCAAAAAGGACAAAACGGAGGTTTTGGGCACTTCGTGAGAAGGCAAGGCTCACTGGAGAAGACAATCATGGTAGCAAAATGGAGAGATGAAGAAGAGGAAGACTAAACAGGAGATGGGTTGACGCCATAAAGGAAACCACAGCCTTGAATTTAGAGCAGCCAAACAGGGCTGTCATGGGAAGGACTTTTTGGAGGTCTTTTATTCATGGGGTGGCCATGAGAGAGAGAGGGCTTGATGGCACGTCATCACAACACCATTAAGGGCCATCTTGGAAAGCCCTTGGGCCAGCTGCCCTTCATGGACCCCTTTCCACACCTTTGTCACCAGAGGCTCTTGCTCCTCCTCCTCCTCCTCCTCCTCCTCCTCCTCCTCCTCCTCCTCCTCACCATGGCTTCCACCTGCTTGCCTGGCAGATGAGGAGGCAGGGAGTGCACTGACTGTGGTATCTCCTCTGTTCGCAGTCCTCACCATTGTCCGGTTCTAAGCGAGGGACAAGCAGGGTGCCATGAGGAAAAGGCAGGGCAGCTCCAGGGAGAGCTTGCCACTGGCCCCTGCTGGGGTGCAAGGCCGTTGACCTTGGCTACCTTGGGTGCTGGCCCTACTGACACAGTGATGCCACGGGGATGATGGGCAGGGCAGGGCAGCTGTGCGAGCCAAGGAACATGAAAGAACCAACATGCCTCTAGAATGTTCTAGAAACATTCCTGGGTTCCAATGAGGCCAGGAGAGGAGAGGAAAGTGATGCCGTGTCCTGACCAAGTAATGTTGTCAAAGCGCGAGGGAATCCTGTTCAGAACTCCAGCCACCTTCTTCTATTCCCCTGCCATCCCGTTTTCCCCCTGCCCAACACCAGATGCACTTCTTACAGCATTGTAGAGAAATTTTGAGGGACTGCGAGTGGCGCAGTGGTTTAAACTGCTGAGCTGCTGGGCTGGTTGATCGAAAGGTCAACAGTTTGAATCCGCAGACTGAGTGAGCTCCCGTGCTTTGTCCCAGCTCCTGCCCACCTTGCAGTTCGAAAGCATGCAAATGCAAGTAGATAAAAAGGCACCCCTTCGGTGGGCAGGTAACAGCGTCCTGTGCACCTCGGTGTTTAGTCATGCCGGCCACATGACCACAGAGACTGTCTGCAGACAAACGCTGGCTCCCTCGGCTAGGAAACGGAGATGAGCACCGGCCCCAAGAGTCAGACATGACTGGGCTTTAATGTCATGGGGAAACCTTTACCTTTTTTCCACCTAAAACTGCTGTTATCTTTCTCTTATTTATTTTATTTATTAAAACATTTTTATGTGTGTGCAAGGGTGCATTTTGGCTATTCCTAATGTGAGCAATTATAACGTGACATAAAGAGTTAAATATAGGTCATCCTTGGATTGTGTTGAAATGTGGGTTATCATCTGAACCCAACTGAGATAACAAACCATGGTGGGTAACTGGCAACTCACAACCCACAACAAATCACATGTTCTCTTTAGGAGTTGCTGGTTAAAAAGCCATGGGTTATTAGTACAGCTGGGTTCAGACAACAAGATCACCCACGTTTGAGCAACAACCTACACTTAACCCATGATGAACCCTGAAGTGTTAGCTATTGTGTTTTCTGAACCTAGTCAATGTCTTGCTGTAGTGTTGCAAGGTAGGTTGCAACCTCAGTGTTCCCCAGTTTGCTTCGAGGACCTCTTGAACCTAGGACCTAGGGAGCAAGGGGCTAAACCCTGCTTGACCGGCCTGCATTGTCGGGAGGAGGTTGCTATTTATGCAGTGAAAAATAAAATAATGTGTATTTTTTGTATGCTATGATATCCCATTTGCCCATAAGCCACAATACCCACTCAATGTTCTTAAGGCAGCATGTTGAAGTTCTTCAAGCCAGGAGATGCATTTTGCTGGCGAGCTAGGCCAAAATACCAGTGTATAGATTGATTTTCAACATTTCTATACCGTTCGACATCTTCACAGATCCCAGAGAGGTGAGCAATGCAAAATATGTAAAATGAATAAAACATGGTAATATAAGCAATGAAAACAGCAGCTGGTCAATCAAAGAATGCCTTCTGAAATAAAGATGTTTTCGGGAAGTGAGGGAAGCACCTGTCTGACCACTGGAGGCTCAGAACGCTACAGAAAGTGAGTCTACCCATTGATGGCTCTTCCCTGGATGGATTCATATCCAGCCATTAGGCCCATGTGAAGCCACCAGGACAGGCATTCGGATCTTTTTAAAATGGGAAGAAAAGCGCATCGGAGCCTGGGAACTATCAAATGAGCCATGGCCGGGGGAAAGTGTGAGAGCCAGTGTGGCGTAGTGGTTAAGAGCACGGGACTGGGACTCAGAGGATCCGGGTTCGAGTCCCCGCTCAGCCATGGAGCCAACTGGGTGACTTTGGGCCAGTCACAGCCTCTCAGCCCACCCTACCTCACAGGGTTGTTGTTGTGGGGATAAGATGGAGGGGGAGAGAAGATGTAAGCTGCCTTGAGCCCTTTGCAGGAAAAAGGCAGGATATAAATCACAATATAAATAAATAAATAAATATAAAGGTGGTGTGACCATCAGTGGAATCCCAAAGGGGTGGACTGGAAGGCCAGGTTGGGTCCTGGGACACGAGGTTCCCAAGTTCCACTTTTAGAAGAGAAAGTAGACACTCGGTGGTTTGCATGTAGCAGGCTCTGAGTAAAAGACCCCACTTCTGCCTGAAAGCATGGTATGTTGCTGCCAGTCAGAGTATGTAATAATGGTTTGCATTATGGAGTATCAGCTAGCAAACAGAATGGTCTTCAGGGGCAGGAAAAAACCCAAAGCAAACACTGGTCAAGAGGTATGGGGTCTTTCTGATTCTTGTTATCAGAAATGCCAAGGACGGAATCCGGGGCCAACACCATGCAGACCCTGTAGCCTTTTTCTTGGGATGGAATCCAGGTCCTGCTGGGACTGAAGGAGGAAACGGCTGACTTCCCCGAGGCAGAGAGGGCTCCACCGGGGACCTGGCAGAGGCAGCTTTCAAAGGGCATCAAGCCAGAGGACACTAGTGATACCACCTCCCTGGGTCTGGATTTGTCGAGTGGTGGGTTAAAGCAGCGGTGTGGAGCCTCTCTCAGCCGGAGGGCCAAATTCCATTGTAAGAAGCTCTTGGGGGCCACATGCCAGTGGTGGGTGGGGGCCAAAGGCACAGGAGGCGTAGCAAAGGGCGAAGGGGCGCAAAATAACTACATATTTCAGCCTCAAGCTCCTACTGCCAACACTAAGCCTTTGGAGAGGTGCTTCTGGCTTTTAGAATGGGGGAAAACTCAGCAAAAGCAGGAAACCTTTGTGGGAAAGGGGTGAGGCCGGGGAAAGAGGCATGGCCCTTTAAGGAAACCCAGTGGGCCAAAACAGGACCCCAGGTGGGCTAAATTTAGGCTGTCGCTCTAAGGCTCAACCCTGAATTTCTGCTCCAGCAGGGTTCTTATGTCCTTACACCAGGCTTCACATGTGCCAGACTATAACACCCATCATCCTCAGTCATCATGGCCAGCAGCCATGTTGTCTAGAGATGATGGGGAGTGTAGCATTACAACTCTGGAGGACGCTGGATCATTACTGAATGATACAGAAAGAAGCTCATGAAGATGTGTAGCAAGACCTTGGTCCAGACTCTAATATTTTATGCCACAATAAGAACCCTGGATATTTCCCGATTTCCCCCTTCACCAATGTCAAGAAAATGCAAAGTGATCTCGCCTCTCCAGCTACTCCTGTAGCTGTTCTTAAGTGCACTGTTCCTCCATGAACACACTGCAAGAACTTGCAAAAATCCGGACAACATGCCTCCACGCTCTAACCAAAACTACGCGCTCTGTTTTGAGTGGGTTCTCTCATGTACAAGGAGATTTGGCTTCTGCGTGAAGCCCTTTCCACAGTCCAAACATTTGTACGGCTTTTCCCCAGTGTGGATCCTTTCATGCTTAAGGAGGTTTGAGCGATGACTAAAGCTTTTGTCACAGCCAACACAACAATATGGTTTTTCCCTCGTGTGGGTCCTTTGGTGCGCGATGAAAGCTGATTTGTCCCGGAAGCTTTTGGAGCAGTCAGGACATTGGTACGGCTTCTCGCCTGTATGGATCTTCCCATGCTGGACCAAGCCGGCATTCTGAGAAAAACCTTTCCCACATTCCAAGCATTTGTATGGCTTCTCCCCTGTATGGGCTCGCTTGTGTTTCATCAGGGATGATCCGTCCCCAAAACTTTTCCCACATTCACTGCACTTGTATGGCTTCTCACCTGTGTGGATCCTTTCATGTGCGAGGAGGTTTGTCCGATGCCGAAAGCTCTTCCCACAGCCCAAGCATGGATACGGCTTCTCCTCTGTGTGGATCCTCCTGTGCACAAGGAATGACGACTTGTTCCTGAAGCTTTTCCCACAGTCGGAACACTCATGTGGCTTCTCCCCTGTGTGGATTCTCTGATGTCGAATAAGGTCAAACCTCTGCCGGAAGCTCTTCCCACAGTCTGGGCAACGATAGGGCTTTTCTCCAGTGTGTATCCTTTGATGAGCCACAAGTCCCGTTCTCCTGCTAAAGCTTTGCCCACAATCTGGGCAAGCAAAGGGCTTCTCTTGCCTGTGCGTTCTTTCATGTACAGTAAGATGTGACCGCTGGTTGAAGCTTTTCCCACAGTCTGGGCAATTAAATGGCTTCTCTCCGGTGTGGATTCTCTGGTGTGCCACAAGAACATTCCTCCTACAGAAGCTCTTCCTACAGTCCAAGCACATGTATGGTTTCTCTCCTGAATGCATCCTCTGATGCTCAGTGAGCTCAGCCTTGCATCGGAAGGATTTTCCACACTTGGCACATGTCTCCCCCTTGAGGATTTTTTGTGGGGCTGGCACTGGATGGAGCTGCTTGAAATAATGGGGAAGATTAGTGGATTTGCTTCCTTTGTTACCAGAAGTCTTTTGCTGGTTCTCTGAAACTGAATCTAGATCATGATGCTGGGAAATGGCTTGTTCTCTTCCTGGTGGCTTCCCATTTAGTTCAACTCCCTTCAAATCTACTGGCAGACTCTTCTCTTTCCAAAACTCACTCTTGCAACCTGCTGGAATAAAGGAGAAAGAAATAACAGTTGTGCATCTCCTTTTATCTGGAAGAAAGGAGGGATTGGATCAGATTTACCCAGAAATAAAGATCATTTTCTGAGGTCTGTCTCCAGGTGGCCCCACCGACTGAGATAAGCAAGTGGCTGCTAAGGATGGGACCTTTTGAGTGGTGGCACCTCAGATGTGGAATGTTCTCTCCAGAAGGGCTTATCTGACACCTAACACTGTGATCATTTCATTCTCTCAGGCCTTGTAACATCTCGTCAATCTTTTACATTCGGTTAACACGTGCAGTGTTATTGCTGTATGGTTTATTCTTGCATTTTAATGATCTTTGATATTGCAAAGCTTCCTTGAGAATGTTGTTGTTAGGCAGCATAAATGAGAAACAAAACATGCATCACATAAAAGTGAAAAGCAAGAGCCACACTCACCTAAACACTGTCATACTAGTCTACCCTGAAGTAGCTCCCTCTGTGTTAACTGTGCCTTCCTCCCAGGTAAGTCTGCACAGGATTGCAGCCATAATGATCCCTTACAGCATTCCACAAGCATTCTGCAAGTTGTACAGTTCCCATCAGCCCCAACCACATGGCCAAGGACCAATGATGGGGTTGTAGTTCAAAGCATCTACTTGAATCCTCTCAGATCTTTGAGCCATCTAGTCTACAGTTTCCTGGCCTGATCAACCATTGTACACCAAGAGTACCTACAACACCCATTATCTCTTCCCACTGGCTATGGTGACTGGGAATGATGGGCCTTGCAGTCCAACAAATCTGGCATTCACCATGAAAAGGAATACTGACTGGGGACTCCTCAAATAGGGCCCTTTGGACACATAACCGCATTTATGTATGTCCTTCCCTCCCTTATTTCACAACTGGATCCATTCCACACTGTAAACTCTTTGGGAGCAGAGACCTGTGTGCAGAATGCAAGCAATTCAGAACATCCAGCCAAGGAATCCTTACCCTGAAAAGAGCCACGTACATCATCCTGCTTGGCCTCTCTGAACAGCAGCAAATTTTCAGGACCTGACTGTGCCCCATCAGCCTTTGGGGCATCAGCAGCCTCCTCCTTGAACAGCCGCAGAACCTGAAATGGCAGTTTGGATCCAAAAGAAGCAGGTGAAAAACAGTTGGGAAACTGGTCCTCAACCCTCTGGTACAGCCTTTACCAACCTGGTGACCTCCAAACATTTTGGATGACAACCCCCATCATCCCCTGCAAACATGGTCAATGGCTAGGAGTGCTGGGAGTTGTAGTTCAGCAACAGTCAGATGGTGACAGGTTGTCTGTCCTTTGCTGGAAGAGCCCGACTGCATCAGATGGCCAAGAAGAAGTTCATTTTCCTTGTGTCTCTCAGCAGCTTGCACAGTTCCATTCCATGATACACTTGCCCACAAAGCTTAGGCCATATTTGTGTGTCTTGTACTGTTCCAGACTTCAAGACTGCAGCAGCCCTCTCACAATCTGGGCTGAACGAGTCCAGCAGAGTTTGTATGAACCTCCAGCCCCCTGCCAGCCCAAAGCAAGGCTTCTGATTGGCTAATAAGAATCGCCTTAGTTTTGGTAAAGGTGCTTGAGTATAAAACCAAAGGCAGGTGTTACAAGTGCCCTGAGTTTTGGTCTTTGATCCATCTTTGCTTTGGATTCCAGGTCCTTTTGTCTGGATTGTATTCTCTCTGAAGACCCAAGCCTAGATACATATAGTCAAATGTTGGTTCGATTTGTTTTCCTCGAAGTCTTGTTTCTCTTGTGTGTCTCTTATTCCCCCTTCTCCAATAAACTTACTAGCTGGGTTCAGACAACAGAACAGCCCAACTCAAGGGCTGAGGGTAGGTTGTTGTTGAACCATGGGTTATTGTGTCATCTGAACCCAGCTGCACTAATAAGCCATGGCTTGTTAACAACAAACAGCCCATGAAGAGAACTCACAGATTCCTTTGGGGTTGTGACTTCTGGGCTGTCCTTTGTTATCTCAGCTGGGTTTGGACAACACAATAACACACGTCACAACAACCCATACTCAACTCCTGCGTATTGTGTTGTCCGAACCCAATCACTGCCTTAGGCCTGGTTGCCGGGGTGCTTCATTCAAAGCAATTACTAAACCTTCCACTTGGTCAATGCTGCTGCTTAAGTTTTCAGGCCAAAACCTAGGGGAAAAGCCATGCTTGTCCCCCGCTCCCCCATTTCATAAGCCTGAAGGGTGTCCTTCAGACCTGTAAGGTCTGGTTCAGGCAAAGCTGGACGTGAGGCCTGAGCAACGCTTTGTCCTTGCTGACACCACTGGAAGTTTGGGCACCCACCTTCCCTCATTCGCACAAACTGGGCATGAAGACAATGCCCTGACCAGGTCCCCACAACTGGTGCTCTGAATTACGCCGCTCCTACTAACAGCCATATCCACCAAGAGTTTCTTGAAACCATCCTTAACAACCGGAAGACCTCCAGGTATTCTGGACTTCACTGAGAGAACTGGTGCAGTTGGCCTAGGATCCCGGTTCTAGTACAAACCCCAGAAGTTTAGCTTCCAGATCGTGTGAGGTGCTGATTCCCCTTGATGTGGAACGAGTTAGGCCCCATCTTAACTTTTCTGTTCGGTTCCGGGTACCACACTTTGAAGAAAGGCGCAGATAAGCCGGAAAGGGTTCAGGGAAGGGCAGCGAGGATGATCTGGGACTGGAAGCAAAGCCCTGTGAGCAGAGATGGGAGGAACTGGGCATGTTCAGCCTTGAGAAGAGAAGATTGGAGAGAGGGTATCACTTTCTGAATACTTGATAGACTGTCACACAGTCTATCTTGGAGGGCCAGGATCTCTTTTCAATCATCCCAGACTGTAGGATGTGGGAAAATGGGCTTAAGCGACGGGAAGCAGGAATGTCCAGGGTGGACATCAGGAAAAATGTCCTGACTGTTCGAGTGAAGCAACAAAGGAAGCCTTAACCCAGGGAGGTGGTGGGCTCTCCCACACAGGAGGCATTGAAGAGGCAGCTGGACAGCCATCTGTCAGGGATGCTTTGATGTGGAGGCCTCCACTGAGCAGGGGGTTGGACCTAATGGCCTCATGGACCCCTTCCAATGCTGCTAGTCTAGGGTTCTAGTCCCTGCTCAGGCATGAATCTCACTGGGTTCCTTTGGGGCAGTCACTGATTCAGCCGAGCCTTCCTTGCAGGGATGTTGTGAGGATAACATGGAGAGAAGGATGGAACCTGCCTTGGGCTCCTTGCAGGAAAAGCATGAGGCTAGAAATGCAGTAATAAATAAAACTAAAATTAAACTCTCCTCCGTTTCACCAGCAAGGTCAACAGGCAGGAATGATAGTCATTGTCTTCCAGAAGGTGGCTGGTAGGAGAAGACGTGCCTAAATCCATTTTAAGCCCATCTAAGCACAGCAACTAATCTAAGAAACATAAGCTGGTATAAACTAACAAAATCCACCCCAATGCTTAGGCTGTCCTCAGGCTCCATTCCAAAATTGCCTTGGGAGGCCGGGTTCTGTCTCACCTGGCAGTCCTGGGGCTTGGCGTCCTCTTCGTCCACCAGGAACTCCTCAGCCAGGCCAACTGCCTGGAAGCAAGTCTCCAGGCGCCTGTCCCTGACCCAACTCTGCATGTCCTCGGGCAGGACGGCCAGGAACTGCTCCAGGACCACCAGCTCCAGGACCTGCTCTTTGGTCTTCTCCTCCAGCTGCAGCCACTGACAGCAAAGCTTCCAGAGCATTCCACAGGCCTCACGGGGGCCCTCGGCCTCCTGATAGCAAAACTGCCGGAAGCATGGCTCTTCTTCTGGGCTGGCAGCTCCCTCGTCTGGAGGCTCCTCCTTCGCCTTCCGATAGTCCACCATCTTCTTGGCCCAAACAGGGTTGACAGACTGATGGCTTTCTCTGCTGACTCCAGGCGAGAGCTGGGTCATCACCATTTGTCCAGGCTGCAGCACAGTGTCTGATGCTCCCTCACCAGGAGGATGATCAGCCCAAGTGTCCCTCAAACCAGATGTCAACAGCTGTGCTTCTCCTTCTTCACAGGGCAGAGGCTCTTGGACCTTCAGGGACATCTGACCCTGGTCTTCCAGGCACTCTGGTTCCTGCTTAGTATGTTCTGGTGTATCTCCTGGGAGGAGACCCTTCCAGGGTTCAGATTCTGCTGGGTCCTGTACCTCTGTCTTCACACCATCCCCTGGATTGACGCCCAGTGGCAGGCCCAGCACCGCTTTGCTTGTGTGCTCTGTTGCCCCCTTCATGCCCACCATCACGGCGTGGTCTGAACTGGCCTTCGGAGATGCTCCAAAGAGGCTTGGCTCTGTTGCTTCAGGCTGAGCCAGACTGCAGACCTTGAGACCGCCTTGTCCGTAGATGCTTCTGCCTGAAGGAGAGAACCGAGATTCAAACCATCCTTCTGCTGGACCATACCAGGAGTGCAAAGGTGGAGAGAAGAGAAAGGGCACGCATGCGTGCGTTGCACCTGATACCACCACTCTGGGCTGTCTAAAGGAGGCCCTGTAAGATTGTGCAGCTTGGGGACTATAATTAATTCCCTTGCTGCACCACAAGCCAACTACATCCAACGCTAGCAGCCATTACATCCCTTCCCTCATCCCGTTTTCAGCTCAGGCTTTCGAGCTCACCTGGAACATCCCACATCTATAGAGCTTTCCTGGGCTGCACCAAAATGCTCTTTGAGTTGCTCTCTCTCTTTCTGAATTTATGTCCACTTGGGTCGCCCCCCAAATCTGCCGATTTGTCCCACTTGGTT